GTGTAATTTAAGTATAATTTACTTTACACTAATTATAGATTTTGCTTAGTTATTTATATCAAATGACAGGCTTTATGATGGTCGTCATTAGCCCTTTAGTTGACTTCGGGCTTCACAGAGAGGAGAAGGAACATCAAAGTCACAAAAGTCGAGAGAGTGAACAGAAGAGTGATTCACAGATGTAAAAACGACAGATAGGCACAATGGTAGAGAAAAAGGTAAGGTGAGTATTGTGGAAGGGGTCGAATATGGCATTCAATGGGCTCATGGTAGTTTGAAATCAGAAATCAACTGCCAGTTAATAGACTTTTTGCCGTATGAGTATACGTTGCCCAGGGTGCATCACGTGTAGGTAAGTCTATTGCGCACCCCGATTTTGTTTAGTTAATAGCACTAAAAAATTAACCGTAATTCCACAAAATTTATTTTAATATTTAGTAATATAATAGTTAACAACTTGGAGAAAATAAAATGAAAATTAAAGCAGATTAAATTGTGCTTTTATTTGATTAAAAAATATATTTCTTATTGTTTGAAAATCGACCATGAATCATCAATGTATAATTTTGGGCATTCCAAGAATGTCAAGACTCCACATTCATTGTTTGTCTTCATTATAGGATTGCGTGATGAAGTACTTGTGAATCGGTGCAATTCTTATGGGCAATTAAACAAATGACTGTTGTTAATTTTGAATAAAAAATTTGAAAACTCAAAAGTTTTAATGAACTATTTATTATTATTATTATTATTATTATTCATTAAATTCTTGATTACTGTTTTTGCTAAGGCAAACAAACACAAAAATATTAACTTTGACAAAGGTTGCAATATTTTCGAACTTGGAATCACAAGTTACAATTGATTTAAGGGTAATCGAAGGAAAATTGAACGATCCCAATTGCTGTGAGCATGCCTGCTATGAAGAAACCGGCCTCCTGGCACCAGAAGTTGGGCATAAATTTGTAGTAATACCACCACATACCGATTAGAGCAAACACCGCGGCTAGGCCAGAAGATACACAACCTGCAATATGCAAATGTCGTTTTCTGTCCTCGTTTTTGTTGAAAAGCAGCACTATTCCAACGATGGTTGACGCAAGGAGGAAGATGAAACTAGTTATCATCATACCGGCAACAGTTGGCAAAACTGGTTTAAATCGAAGACAGATTTCGCTCAATAATAAACCACATGGCCATTCGCTTTTAGACAACACAACAATAAATAGTGTTAGAGCAATAAGATTTGCGAGGTAGACATACAAATCTTTCATTTGGAGCACCTATTAATGATATTCAGTTTCTGCTACACCTCAGTTAAATCTCTTTGTGTGGCATAGAGTGCAGAGTTGGTGCTGTGCTATTCTGTTAAATCTGTTATCCAACCAATGAGCATATCAATGGCGTAAGAATTCTTGCTTTCCAGTAATTTCTTAGTAATGACGAATCCTTGAAAAATCACACAGGAAAAATCAATTCAACTTGTTACTTTGAAAGTGGCAGATATAGGGTAGTTGCGACGCAAAATCAAGACTTTGTGTATCGCATTTTGTTCAGCTATACCATTCAGTATTTTGTGTTAGCGCACACTGCGATACAAACATCTATTGATTGATATGAAGGTATTACTATCGAATTATCTTTTAGGAATAATTTTATATCACATGCTCTTTTAAATGCCTTTATGTGCACTGCGCTAAGTTTGAATTTATTTCAGTGAGCCTGCATTGGGATTACTGGGTTTCACTCAACTCTGTCTTGCGTTGACACATCAAATCAATCTATCTTATTTACACATTCATTTTTAATGCCCTCAGTATTAGATAAATTGTTTTTCGTCTATCATTATAACTTTATAGTGAATTTCAAGTGAATCAATGTTATTCTTGCAGGTGAGTTAAATAATATGCTTTATAATAAAATAAATGAACTTCTTGTTACTTGCGAAATAAAAGATATAAATTTTCTAAAATTTTAAAAGTTTAAATATTAACTCTCTGGCACAAATTCATTGAGCTCCATTTAAAAAATCCCTTTTTGGAAGTCACACACACACACAAATTTGTAAAATAAAGTTTTTTGTTTAGACAAGTATAACTGTTGCAAATTGAAAATCAGTTCGCGGGTACGTCAACATCATGATCTCCTGATCGTTGCTATGTGGAACACATTTTTTCTGCGATTAACTAGATTAGAATACAATGGTTTTCGTTGGCCTCAAAGCGGAGTAATTGATATTAATCTTATTCATCATTGTTGATTTTTTTAACGATAATATACTGTTTACTAAAATAGAATCTCCAGTATATTCTAAATGTCAATCAATATCTTTATAATTTTCTTCACTGTCATTATCTAAGATAGTATAGAGAATAATCAATATCCAACTGTCTACTACTGGAAAATGTTCAAAGATTAATTAAAAAGTTTAATTCAGAGCGAATAGTTAATTAAATTAAAATGAACTCTTCTTTACATTTGTCGCTTGGCCTATTTAGATCTGATCAGGAGCATAAATTTTGCTTTCTTTTCACAGTGGAATCGTCATTACAAAGATTTATATGTCATGTGTCCCAACTAGGTGCGAATAATATCGCTACATAGCACGTAGTTCAGTCGGGATGTTATAAAATATCTCAATAAACTTCTCTGAGTAATTGCATTTTCGGAATCTAATTGTATTTTAACTTTCAAACCACTATTGAAGAGGTATTTTTTATCTCAATCTTAAATAGCACAATATAAAGCCATTTTGCTTTGGCATTCTAAACACAACAAATCACTGTGGTTAAATTTTTCTGAGATTTAAAACCAAATGTTCTACACATTGTTTTATGTCATTAGGTAAATAGAATCCATATTTATAGGGTCGATATAAGTGACACATAAATATACACTAGAATTAGCGTTGTCCAGTATTTTTTAAAAATAGACTCACTGGGGTAACAGAATTAAAGGCCATCAGTTTGCGAGTGAAGCGGATTTCTACACTAGTAAAGCCTGATTGACTCAGAAATCTCTGTGGTAGATTCTCATACATCTAGCTAGACTCCCAGAACTAGCTAAGCTACAGCCCAGCCATTAAGGAAACAGACGTATAGCACGGAACACATTTATTCAGAAAGTATCTTGTTGGGTAAAGCGCGCACTCAGGGAGCTTAATCATAGTCAGCGTGGCGTACTGGGTTAAACAACTGAAGGCATCTGATTTGCCACTGGCTGTACGATTGTCGAAACAGAGAGTTGTACTGCGGCACCTCCCGATCCTGGCGTGCGCGCATGCGATGACGGGTCCCACAGGAGTTACTAAATTGCAGGAACCAATTAACTAGAAGTGGATTTAGATTTTTTAGATTACAGCAAACAATAAACAACCGTTTGGGAAAATTCGAACACATGTCCGAAGTGGATTGAATAAACTACGATGAGGATTTTTGAAAGTAAAAGAGAAGAGATGTGAGGAAAGCAATCGAACAGATAGTCGAAAATTTGGAAAATGGGTCGTGTCATCTTTCTTTATGGCTGTGGATGGTTCCAAGTGTGATTGAACTGTTTAAGACTAATTCCCTTATCTTCCATAGGTTGTATTTATTAGAAAAAAAGGGAAATTCAATCTTGCTTATGGCGCTAGATTAGATGGTAGGGCAGTTAATCAAGTGTCCAGGCACTCAAATGTCTTGTCTCTGAAATTTCAAAGAGGTTGCTTTAGTGCTATAAAGGCTAGGCGATAAGTAGTGAATATGAAGCAAACAGTTTTGAGGAGTAGCAGAGCGGACAAATTGCATTAAACCATCTGAGTCATACTTTCCTGTCCTCACCCCCTCTGTTTATAGTGACAAATACATTTAGCCTCTTTACTAAACGCGCCAGCGAAAATTAACTAGGCGACACCCGTGTAGCGAGAACACAGACGATGAGGAGAGGTATATATGACAAGCATGCCACAAGTATCGTTCATAATCACATTCCCATGTAAAGTAAGAAAAGGCGGCATCTAAGGTTGGCCATCATGCATAGATGGTAATATCCTTTAACTGAAAATCTGTGGATATTCATCTGATAGGCAATTGCTTAAAGAAAGAAATCATCACTTTCTTTCCTGTTTCAAAGGCAGGTCGTACAAACCTAACTTTGAGCTTTAAAGCCTGATGACTCCAACTGCAATGATCAGGGTTTGATTTCCATGAGGAGTCTCTATAAACCTATCTCTCAACTCGAATAAAAGGAAATATCTCAACGGCCTTGTTAACAACTTCCAAATTAAAATCTCGATGAGGGAAGGGGGTTTGAACTCAGATTCTCGTTGTTATAGGAGAGAATTTCTTACAGTTCACCTTAGACCATTAGCGATGTAGCAATTTTAAGGATGAAGATCCATTTTCAATAATAATGGAATGAAAGTGCGAAATAATTATCAGATGTGTCTTATGAAAATATTCAATAATTTATTCATGATTATATTTTCGCCTGAAGAGGCTTTTAATTTTTTGAATAACTTGAGCACTTGGTTCCACAGACGAGTTTGTGGGACACGTCATCGCATGCCTGCACGCCAGGAATGG